ACGCTTGACTCTGTCTTCCATGTCGGTCCCGTCCGTTAGACATTCAAACTGAGTTGAACGGAAACAGGCGAGTAACGGAAAATCGCCAGGCCGTGTCGCCAGCCGAAAGTTGGAATTTTGGTTTCCCTGGCCGGGAGGGCGTAATTCACACCTACGCGCCAAGTGAAGTCGCCACTACTTGTTAAGTGAGGTTTGATAGGGTAACAAATAGCTGTTAATAGCCTTTCAGGTTGCGACTCAGGGCAGAGGTTGGGTGGGGGGCGACAAAAAAAAAACGAGGCATACTAGTATATAAAACGGTGACGATCTTCCCCGCCAACCTCTGCTTGGAGAGGGGCGACAAAAAAAAAACGAGGCATATATAAAACGGTGACGATCTTCCCCACCAACCTCTGCTTGGAGAGTTGAGTGGGGGGCGACAAAAAAAAAACGAGGCATATATAAAACGGTGACGATCTTCCCCACCAACCTCTGCTTGGAGAGTAGCTCTCTTATCACTTACTCGAGTCTTACACGGGGGGATAATGACCGCTAGCCTTGTTAGCAAGCCACACAGTGAGCTCTAGTCAGACATGACCCCAGTCATTTGAAACGGAAAGTTAATTAAGCTACTAGTTTTTTGTGTGTTTTGCTACGTCTCTTTGCCTTGCGGCGCACTCTAGTCAAAACGAAAGAGATCTACCAAAACGCGGTAGAAACGCAGAAATGGGGGGGGGGGGGCTACACATCTCTATTCCGTATTCGATTCGTTTCGATAGAATAAATCACATCACCCCTTTGTTTTTGTTGTCTTGCAGAGGTTGAGCCCTGATCGAGGGCCATTTTTGACAGACTTGTGAGTAACCAGCCTGCTGCATATGATTATCTTCCGATCGGCGGCGACCCGGGCACAGGGCAGGGCCCTCCTTCGGCGCCTTCAGTCGGCTCATTAATTATGCGGACGCCAGCGTCCGTGGAAACTATTATGCTAAACTCCCTAGTGGCAAGTCACCACCAGACTTCTTTTGCGGGGTGAACAAATTGTAGAAATCGGCCTAAAAGGGGTATTAATTGACCAGAGAAGGTAGCCGGCCAGAGAAGCTCCATTTCCCCGCCGAAATTCTGCTACATAAAACAAGACTATATTGTTGTATATCTACCTTTCAAAGTATATTGATCATAACGACTTGAAGCGCAACCTCTTAGTATTACAGTTTAACTATATCAAATTATTACTTTGCGATCTCTGCTATAATTCGATATGGTTTTAAAATATTTCAAAGAAATTTTTCCCTACTCGCAGAATAGACTCTTCCATGTCCCAATGATATGGCGATGATACCGCCCGTGTAAGTCCACACAAAAGACATTTGATCTCTGGCCGGCTACCTTCTCTCGCCAATTAATACCCTTTTCAGGCCGATTTCTACGATCTATTCACCCCGCGCGACTGTATGACGGCCTACTCTCCAAGCAGAGGTTGGTGGGGAAGATCGTCACCGTTTTA